TTCCTTTGTGCCATATAAGAGGAAAAACAAAAGATGCATGTCCTACCTCCATCCTTGAGGGACAGTGGCAAATTCTTGTCTTATCTTTAGGGAGATTGTGTATGGCAAGTCCCACGTTGATCTTAACCTGTTTGCCATAAGAAATTAAAAATATATTTTATTCACTATTTCCCAGATGATCTTGAGACAACTTAATGAAACAGGCAGAAAGATGTTACTTAATATGGGCTGAGGTAGAGGAAATATAGCATAAAATTTTAAGATCAAACTGTGTTAGGTTAAATTCTAATCTTACAGTGTGATATTGCGAGAATAACTTAAATTCTCTCTAGTTCAGATACTTTATTGACTAGAATTTATTGACTAGACTAATAACAATAGAATTTAATCTCTCAAAACAATTATAAGGATTAAATGAACTAATTCCTATAAAGAATGGACATTCATGCCTGACATGTGGGTAACATCTTGGTGATAATTGTCTGTATTTACACAACACAAATACATAACAGAAATGGGACGCAGGTCTGATTGAATCCAACCCTTGTTAAGTCATTTTTTGGAGTAACAAAAACTTCAGATTCCAAAGTAGCATATTTTTGAAATTTCCAGTTCACTGGCCCAGAAATTCTTCATTCACAACCCCATATACTCCAAGGAACAAACTAGTTTTTTTTTAGACACGAATGGTAACTGAAAGTAACTCTAGATATGCAACACAGTACAGGATCCCTGCTTTTCAAAATTTTGTGTTATGTCACTTCATTTTTACAAAATACCTCTATTGGTATATATTTTGGTTAACTGAAAGAAACCCAAAAAGAATGTTTGCCTTTTCAGAAAAGCAAAAAGCAAAATAATATTCAGCATTTGTTTTGTAGCAGTCATTCTAGAGGCATCGTACACCCCCAAGCCTGCCATGAGAGTGGCCCTGCCAAGCCCTTTCAAAGGGACAATTTTATTCCCCTTTCATCCCTGCTTGTGTTGTATTTTAGTGTGGTTTTCGGTGTGATGCAATATGTGACATGATTTGATAGGTTATTTTTGGGGTCTGAAAAATTCTCCAAAATTTTCCATGTAAATTAATGGTAATTGCTTTTTTAAAAATTTTAGGTCATTTTCACTTAGGAGAGCTTTCATAGGAACACTGTACTTTCTAGCAGGGGCAACTGCACTTAGATTAGTGCTACTATATGCAGAAAAATGTGTTTAAGCATTTGAAATTTTTCAAAATGTTCATCTTCAGTATAGAAATTGTGAAAAAAAATTACAAATAGGTCGGTCTGGAGCTTATCTCTTACTTTAAATCTTCAAAGGACAGCCAAATCGGTCTCAACTAAATTCAAAAGAATCAATGAGATAGTACTTATCTCTTCAATGAAGAACACACAGACAGCTCATTTATTTTTCAAGCTTTCACGGCAATGTGGGAGTGTAGGATTTCAGTGACTGCTAGGATTCTGTGAGTTGTTCTAAATTTCCTCAGCTTTTCTATATTTCTACTCAGAAGGGCAAAACAAGGCACACAGAAGGGCAAAACAAGATATAAGAAACTGATAAATTCTAATCACTCCTTTATGACAATATGTTGTGTATGGCAATAAAACACCATAGTAATATGTGCCCATGTTAAGAAAGAATGTTGTCCTGATATGCATATATTTGGTTTCTTATTAAAAATTTAAAGTAGCATCTTTATGGTTATGGTACTAATGTTTAAAAAAGATTAATATCCACCCCTATTAATATAATTTCATCAAGACTCACAGTAAATTTAAAAGCACTGAAATCAAAAACAAAGGAATATTTCCATAAGAATCAACAAAGGTTTAAAAACAAAGATGACTTAAGGAGAAATGTGAAATGTGACTTTTCAGCTAGATCATTTCATCTTTCCTTTGGATAACAAATGAAAAAACAAAATTATATATACTAAGGCAGTGGAACCACATGGTGATAATTAACTTTGTAACCATCTAGAATTCAAGCTGTGCATATGGAGAACTCAGTTACTCAAACAATTTGTATACTATGGGTAATTCTTCATAACTCATTTGGGCTATGAGTAATTTAGTTCACAGAATTAGATTTTATTTCCAAAGACTGTTTTTCTGCATGCTTACAGACATGCCCCTGGCATAATGGATAGCCTACTCCTATCTCTCAACTTCCTAGAAATGAAAATATCAACGTGTCTTACCCAACACATAATTTGTTCTCTTGACTACTGAATACTTAGGAAAATGGTTCAGATTTCTAATTTCTTTAAACAAATACTTATCAAATAATTGAACTCTTACTGAAGTGATTACGAATGTTGATTTAGGGCTAGTAAAGTATGGGGGAGTTTCACCACCCCTAAAATTTATGAAAGTTCATACCACTTAGTTTAGAAATGATTCTAAGGCATCCTTTCTAAACATAAGATATTTATGTTTCATTCTTTTAACAAATATCTGTTGCCTGAGAAAAGCTACAAATGTTTCTTGGATGAATATGTAACTATATTCCTTTGGATATAAGCAATGTAAGGAATGCAAATTAATAAAGAGATGTGGGATCTACTCTGGAGAAATTTATTTTAAATGGTAAGAGGTGGGGTGCATATATCTTTGATTTAGTGTTATTTTCTATCCTTCAGATAAATTGCAACATTATTCACAGTAGCTAAGAAGCTGAGGTATATGTGCACAATGGAATACTACTCACCCATAAAAAATTAAAAATCCTATCATTGGCACCAACTGGGATGAAAGTGGAGGGTATTATGCTTAGGAGAGTCTGACAGATCAAATACCCCTTCACTCAAATGGTATGGATAGATAGACAACTGTATTTAAAAAAAAAAAAGACTTTTAATTTGAACGAACAAAATAGTAGTACCAAAAGGGAAAGAAGGTGAGTAAATCAAGTAAAAGGAGTCAACTGTAGAGAGAAGACTGGAAATCGAAATTCTGGTATTAAACATTATGTAGTATATACAGATGTTGATTTATATAGCTGTGCACTTGAAAACTATATAAAGTTGTAAACCAAAGTTCATTCATTTAAAAAGTAAACTGGTAAGATGTACACAAGTACATATATTTTATAATGTGTGAGGTGACATGTGTCTTTTAAGAGATTGCTCGATACCCTGCCATGGACATCAGGGAAGGGGTCAACAAGGAGGCGGAGTTTGAAAAATGGTCTTGAAGTGCTGGAATGATTGTGCATGAGACCTAGAGAGGAGTAGGAGAGACTGCATTACACAGTGGCACAGAGGTTCACAGACTTACCTACTGTTTGGGAGGAAAGCTAGGGGACATTTGTGAACAGGGAAATGATAGGTCAGTGTTGTGATTGGGGAAGAGTAACCTGTATCCAGCATGTAAGTTCATGGGAAGGTGGGAAAGACTGGAGGCATGGCCTGGACATCCTGAAGGTCGTTGGTAAAGTGGGGCTTGGAAACAGGTCACAGGTGGCAAGTTAAGGATGGGAGTTACTCCTTCCTAAAGAGCAGAGGACCAGGGGCAGGTCCTGGGTAGAGGATAATGGCATCTAAAGGTCTCATTTCTCTATTAAGCATCCAGCCTCATGTTGGGTACCTCAAAACAACAAAACAAAACAAACAACCACTACATGGTGAGGCCCATGGGAGTAGGGCACCCTAATAACAGGCCAGCAATCACAGGACACAATAAGGCTAAAGAGCAAGGATTAAGTGAGAATTATTTACAACTGAACATATTTGGAGCTTCTTCGATATCACCTTTGTAGGTCTGAGGAAATTAGGGACTGTCCTGCCTTACACTGTCAAGCGGTGTTTTTTTTTTTTCCTTCTTTTTTTTTTTTTAAAGGTGTTTCAAGCTACTTTGTTTCCTGCAAGCTCCTGCAACTGTGCTGGCTGGTTCCACCTGGTGCCTGTTAAAGAGCACACGGGTGAGGAAGCTGAGGAGCCCAGTACTGTGATTCAAATCCATCCTGTCTTTACCTTGCCGTGAATGTGGGGAAGGGTCCTGCGTCCATCCCGCGTTCTGGCCCAGGAGGAACTTGGCACAGTTCTCCAGATGGCAGGAGAGCAGCAAAGGAAAAGAAAGCCAGAGTACGAATAGCGCCCCCTTGGGAAACCAGAGTTCAGGCTGCCACCGACCCGGCATTTCTCTGAAACCCGGGAAAGCGCGGTTTCTGCGACTGGCGAAGGCCCGCGAGCGGAGCTGGAGGTGCGCGGAAGAAAGTCAGATCCTATCTGCGCCTCTGGTCACCCCGCATTATCCCTCAGGGCAAATACTCCGGCTCCACCACTCCGGAACGACTTCTCCTCGCCCTGGCTGCCCAGGGTCCCTCAGCGGCCCCGGGGTCCGGGTGGTGTGGCGGAGGGCGGGAGGCGAGCCCCTCAGCTGGAAGCCGAGGGCCCGGGGAATCCCGCGAAGCCAGTGGAGCGCGTCCCGGCGGGGCGCCCGGGGCT